GGTGGAGGTGGTGATGGAGGTGGTGGAGGTGCTGATGGAGGTGGTGGTGGTGGAGCACGAGCCACAGCGTTCATGTCAAGGCCAAAGGACAATTTTCCAGAACTGATTTTTCCCCCTCCATCATTTGGGGCCTGAAGATTGAACGTAGATCATCAGCTGTGGGTCAAGTGCCTTTAGCTGTGGAATCCTCCCTGACCCAGGATTGTACTCTTGTCCTATGGCATTCCTTTACTCCACTGCAGAATTACTAGTGCTGGGCTTTTTTTCTTTAATGCTTTGTTCTATGTAACAGGTTTTTACTGTTTACCACATTCGTTGGGAGATGTTTTTGGTTCCTTTCTCCACTAATAGTTATAAGTTTGAAACTAAGTACATAAAGTGAACGGATTTTGAAGATAAATTTAAGTATCGAAAATGGGGTCAGCTGTCAAGATCTGTATGGGGTCATTTACCGGTCATTTCATGTAAACTCTGAAGTCAGCTTACTGTTAGCACACCTAATGTGTACGCACTAGATGATTGTGTGAGAAAGGAGCGTGACGTGAACACCACTAAAATAAAAATTAAAAGCGACTGACTTACTAAGTCAAATAGTTATCTAAAGTGCCATGTGCTTTCCCCAACAGGTCACCACTAACATCACCTGGGGCATTCAGCCGGCGCCCATGCCTGTGCCCGTGTGGGTGATCATCTTGGCGGTTCTTGCCGGGCTCTTGCTACTGGCTGTTCTGGTTTTTGTAATGTACAGGGTAAGTGATGGACTTTGGGAGGGGAAGGGGAAAGAATAGGAGAAAAGGGGAAGGGAAGTAGGGAAAAGGGAAGAAAAGAGTAAAGAAAAGAAGAAACGGACACACAGCGACACCGCCCGATGAGCAGGGCTCGTTTCAGGATAGGAAACTAAAAAATGGCATTTGGAGTCTCAAGCTGCTAATAGGAACGCTCAATTGTATTTTTAACGTTCTGTTAGTGAGAGCTTTGTCTTTTAACTGATAGATGGGCTTTTTTAAACGCGTCCGACCGCCTCAAGAAGAGCAAGAGAGAGAACAGCTCCAACCTCACGAGAACGGCGAAGGAAACTCCGAAACCTAATTGTGGTTCCCAAGCAGCGCCGCTTCTGGATCCACGGAATTTTTCCCTTTGGTGATAGATTTAAATATCTTTCATGAAGAACAAAATCCCCAGATGGTATGGCTGAGGGTACCCAGTAGCCTCAGCTTACCCACAAAACTGAAATGACTGTTTGCCAGCTTCTCTTGATAAATAGGCTCAGATTACGTGGGCTTCACACACACTGACGTGCGCTTTTAGCGATAATCCTTGTTCAGCGTACGTACGACAGCACCTGAGTTACCACATCACATAACATGGTACCTCTTCGGTTACTGTTTCTAATTTACTATGTGAGGTTTCTCTCTTCTTCGATGTTACGTTAAGGCAGTTAGGATCTTTAAGCAATTCAAGTTTAGACCTTAGCACCAATAACTTTGTACAGGTACTTAGAACTTTAGTACACATTACACTACACTATTTCGTAAGCTACTGAAGACTCAGCGATTGCATGGACTTAGATTTCAGTATCATTTGCATAGTAGGACTTTTTTTTTTTTTTTTAAATCTGATACCATCAAAATTCTTTCCTGGGCGCTAGGCCACTTCAAAACATGTGCTCCGTATGTACACGTCCCTGGGTTTAATCCTCAGCACTGGGGAGAAACAACAGTTTCCTGTGTTAACAATGGTACAGTATTTTTGTATGAAATTTAGGTTTTTATTTATATCTAGTCTGCATTGTATTTTATTGTATTTTAACTTTTGTAATTTAAATTCTATATCAAATCCTTTAAGCCATTTCACGCTGAAAATTCTATAATTAAAAATGCCCATTAAGCAATAGCTTGATCTCAACTAAATAATGATGGTGATTGAAGCCCTGGGAGCAGGAAGTTGTTTCTGAGGTACGTCCGTTTCATTGTCTGGCTGTTTGCAGTGTATAAAATGCCGAAAGGCTCTCTCTGTGAGTCTCTGCTGTAACTGCTCATCAAAATTGCATTCTTTAATTAGACTGGAGCTTCTAATTGGTGTTAATTTATTTTGCTCATATTCATATTTTCCTTCTATTTCCAAAACCGAGAACGGGTCAGGACTGTCTTTATAACCTGTAGGAACCTGGATCTCTCATCCTGACCCCCAAGAGAAACGCTTGGAATCCACATTCCAACGGCAGCGAGCATGGTTGCTTCTAGCGTGGGCATTTCCTCAGGTTAAGCAAGGCGATGCATCCACCTGCCTCAGCTTTCAGAAGAAATGCTAAAAAGGTGTTTTTACTGCAGCTCTTGTTACTGAAAACCTTCTAAAGCTTTCTTACATTTGTTAATGTAAGTTTTCTGGGGCTTTAATAAGGGCAGCAGCATTAGCAAGGTCTTCATTGTCCCTGATTTATTCATAGTTCCTCAAGGCCATGGGATGACTATCGATTATAGCTATTTTTGTGCAATTACATCAGCTGTGCACTGGAAGTTGAGAATTTTAACAGCTTTTTAAACTGCTGTCCTCATTAGGCAAGGAACAATATTTCTCTTAAATAATTGAATATTTTTCTACATTTTGAAAATAATGAAATTTGTCTCACCATATTTTAGGTTAATTCCATGTGCATATGGCTGAGCTAATATGGAGAATTTATTTTCATAACATGAGGCACATTTAGGTGGCTTGTACAAGTTAGATATAGACAGAACCCTATATTTAGCTTGAACTTTTAAAGTAATAGCTTCTGGGGTATATAATTCATTAATGGCTTGAAAGATCATAATCATATACACAAGCTTTTTAGCCAATAAATTTAAATTCTTTTCAGAAATATTTTTATCATGAAGCCAAGTGTTGACCACCACCACACAGCCACTAAGTTGACTGTAAAAACTTTTGCTCTGTCTTCCTTCATAATAGCTGCCATTCCTGAAAATCAATGAAATTCATTCTTTGGCAATAGAACCAATATTGATTTTTACAGTTATTCCTATTATGGCTTCTTTGCCAAGGAGTAACTTTCTGTTCAGGACTGAAAGAAGTTGTAACTGGAAATTAACATGATGTGTAGTTTTCTACAAGAGTATGGATTTCCTTTTAAAATGTGTAAATTTGTATCTCTGTAAGGTTAGAAACTGTAATTTCAAAGTCAACTCTGAAAAAAAATGTTGATCCTTTTTGTTCTATAGCAGCATATGAATATAATCGACAGAATATCAAAGGATTATTTTAGATTCATATTTGTAGCTTATTGAGAATTAAAACTGATTTCCAAGTATAAAATTTTCATAATCTAGTTCAGTTGATGCAGAGGACATGTCTGGACAGCGATGCTGGTTTCTCACAGAGATAATTATTCTGGAGTTGATGCTGCATGACATCTATGTCAGGGTCGCTTCCCCTTACGTTTAATCATCGTGATTCTGATTGTGTCTCAATGACTATAAAAGGCGAAACAGCCAAAACATTATTGTCTTAATTCTACCTGAATTGTGAAATTACTAACTAGTTAATCCTCATGAATGCAACATTATTTACATACTGAGGAGACTGACCAATAGCAGACAAGAGCTTGCTGTTCCTTTGAGACAGCAGTGAGGGTTTTGATAGTGAGCCTAACCCCAAGGAGGGACTTCTGAGGCAGAGTATAGATAGCACAGTTGGTTCTCATAGGGCGATGGAGGGCTGAGGTGGCGTCCGTCCCCACTGGCAGAGTTGTGCAGACCCTCACAGAGGAGACTGAGTTGTTTTAGAGTAGTTGTGTGGCCATTGCCTCTCTGTCACCTTGCTTTACTCATGGGTGGCTTTTACATTTCATTTGATGAGGAAGGGGAAAAGGCGAACAAAGTTGTATTGGGGATCCAAAAGGGCAAATAAAATTGCTTAAAGTCTAGTGGTTTCTAAAAGGTTTCTTTGAACTGGTTGGTCCTTCATCTGAACCGTGAACCGTGGCTGTGCCATCTGCAGTCTACACTGGCATTTGTTGTAACTCCTTTTAACTCCTGAGGTGTCATGCTTTCTGTGAGGGTACTGGACCTCCCATTAATTCTGTTGTTGTTCTCAAGTGCAATATAACAATGTAACGAAACATATAAGTCATTGTTAATTTAGTAAGCCTAATCTGAATAGAGATTTATTAGTATTTTTTGTTTGTTTTGGTTAGCAGAAAAGAGCAATTCTGCTGTAGTTGTAGGTACACAGGTGAAGTTTTTCTTTCTTTTTTTTTTTACTTCTAAACTGAATTCTGCATTTCATTTTAGGTGGAAAATGAGCTATTGCCTTTCTGCTTTAAAACCCTTTCAGCATCTTGAGGTAACTCGGAAGCTGCGTGTATCAATTGACTTTGCTCTTTAAGTAACGTGGAAGGTGATTCTCTTGGGCTTCTCTCGTGGTCACCCACATTGGGTGAGACATAAAAATGAATCTGTTCTGAAATCTGTCATTTGCTGACTTGGTTTGAGTTAGTAAAAGCAGGTACCATGTTCTGCTCTCCTTCCCACGTGTAAACTTGTGACTGTACAATAAACTTGAACGTACGGTGCCGGCCTCCGGTGTGGATTCTCCTGTCTCCTGCCCTCTCTTGTTCCTTAATCTCACAGCGCAGCAATCATGCGTCGACCGAGTGACTTCAGGGTGGTGACACAGCTCTCTCTAGAAGTTCAGATTTCTAAGAGGATCCATTATCTCAATGCAGGAAACCCACAAACCAAAAGCAAAGGAAACTTAAAGCCACATTCTTAGAGAGGAAATGATTTCTTAGCATGTCAGTGGCTCTGGAAATAATTGTGAGAAGTGTGCACGTGAGATTGCGTGGGAATTAAAAGGCTTCTTTTTGCACTTCAAAGGGAACAACATCGTGAAGCGGCTTCCTCCAGAACAGAGATGACAATCGCTGCTCTAGAGCCAGCAGAGGGTTAGTACCTCGCATATGCAAAGAACTCAGAAAATCATAAGCTCCATAAAGCCAAACCCTCCAGCCAATTTATGAGTAAATCAAATATTCAGGCGTTTTTGAAAAGATGAAGCCTACGTAGCCAGTAAATACATGAAAAGTGTTCAATTTCTGTAGTCATCAGGGAAACTGTAAATCAAAACTACTGGGAAGGACCCATATTTTGAACCTGCCTCTGGCAGCTCCTCCCTGACCATTTGGGTACTCTTTCCCCCCTCCATCAGCTCATGGGACCCCCGTCCTCTCCTACCATGTGCCTACCAAGTATACTTTTTTCTACTCACAAGTACTGTGTTACAGGTAAGTGTTTTTTTTTTTTTTTTTTTTTAAAAAATATGGTCAGGCTGTAGTAATGCACACCTTTAATCCCAGCACTTGGGAGGCAGAGATAGGGGGATCTCTGTGAGTTCAAGGCCAGCCTGGTCTATGGAGCAAATTCCAGGACAGGTTCCAATGCTACAGAGAAACCCTGTGTCAAAAAACAACAACAACAACAAAAAACAAAACAAAAAATGCAATGCCAACCTAGTTGGAGTGGCTATTGCTTAAAAAGCAAACAAACAAGAGCTAGGGAGCACCTGGGAAGAAGGAACTCGTAGCACAGCTGGAGAGAATATAAACAACAGCTACTGTGGAAATCTGCATGGAAGTTCCACAGTAAGCTAAAGTTAGAGCTATCATATGACCCCGCTATAGCAGTTCTGGACACCGAAGCACACAGTGCCCATGATCGTCCATGTTTATTGTGGCATTGTTCAGGACTGTTCACAATAGCCCTGGTGGAATCAGTCTAGGAGTCCATCGATGGGTGGATGGACAAATGAAATATGTATATATGTAGGCCTTGCTTTTATATTCTTTTTTGTTTATTCTTTTTTTTTTTTCTTTTCTTTCAAGACAACGTTTCTCTATAGCTTTGGAGACTGTCCTGGCACTAGCTCTTGTAGACCAGGTTGGCCTCGAACTCACAGAGATCTGCCTGCCTCTGCCTCCCCCATGCTGGTATTAAAGGTGTGCGCCACCACTGCCAGGCTGTTTTTATATTCTTGATCACAGTAAGTTCCTACACTGTGTAAACTGTCCCCCCTGCCACGCTGGAGACGCTGAGAGAGAGACAACCTTAAGAATGGGGCGGGCGGGAGAAAGCTGCTCACGGGCACTGCTAGCTAGAGGTAAGGTAAAGAGCTATGCTCAGCCAGAGACAGGTCCTATGCAGAACTTCCTGCAGCCGCTCCACAGACAAAGCCTTCTAGTTTGCAAAGCTGGGCTCCTTCACTGTAGATCTGTGCGCTACTCAGTAAAACCAGCTGATCTTGATAATGCCATCAGCAGCCACCCAAGATCTCAATCGGACAATCCAGGCTTTAAGTTAGACACACTCCACCCTACCCTGTCCCCAACAACTCCAATTAGCCATCTCAGCTGAGTCTAACCCCAAACACTCATTTCCCCTACCTTTCCTCTCGTTTTCAGGCTCGTGCATCTTTGCCAGCTTCCCATCTTTTGCTGTTGTTTATTTGATTCTGTTTTATAACACGCCTACGTGTGGCGGTCTCTCTTCCCTGTCTTTTCCTCTCTGATCTCTTTCATGCCGATCGACAGTGATGCTAAAAATGCAGGGCTGAGAGGGTTTCTCCTTCCTGTTCAGCCCCCTTCAGAATGGTCTTCAGTGGAGAACTCCGCTTACTTATGTACCATCCAAGCGGTGTAGGAGGACTGCTGGAGTTGCCATCTGTGAATGTGCCACAACGGTGTCCTACACTGTAAGTACGTACAAGTGTCGGCTAGGTATTTTAAAACAGCTTAGTATTCTCCACTCGTCCTTTGCTGCAGAGAAGGGTCAGTCTTCTGGTAACTGCTCTCACACTTTCTCAAGTACATTGTGCTTTTATGCATCTGACACACACACACACACACACACACACACTCCAGTTTTTAAATGACCTATTTCTGTGTAAACTCCTATTCTGTACAGCCTACCTTCCCCAGTGTCTTCCACAGACTATTTAATTTCGTTCAATTCTATGTAAGCTCAAAAACGCTTGTATTTGCTTCTTCAGTTGCCACCACCACAGCGGGCTGTGTTTTGTTTCCATACTGCCCTAACAAGTGGTAAGCTTGTGGAATGAAGGGATTCCGTTTTACTTATTCCAAGCTCCAGACTAAATGTGCAGTGAGCACCTCGTCAAGTACTTTTTAAGGTAGACGTTTGTTTGTTTGTTTTTGTTTTTGTTTTAGACAGGGTCTTTCTACGTAGCCCTGGGCGTCCTGGAACTCGCTAGGTAGACTGAACGGGGTAGTCTCGAATCTCCTGAGTGCTGAGATTAAAGGCGTGTGCTGCCATACCTGGCAAGACATTAAAAAAAAAAAACAATCAAAACGCCCCAAAACACACGAAAAGTATAAGTTACAACGGGTAAAAGTATAATTAGGAATATTTATGATGACGACAGTAATTCTCATTTAAGCAGAAAAAAAAGTTTATCTACAGTCTGGAGAGCATTAGTTTATCTTGTAAACAGGCCATGGCACAGGAGAGAGCATTGGGTTAAAGGAGCCTGGTCTTTGAACCTATGAAACCTCATGGCTTCCCGAGGGGGACCAGAGTGTCGCCGTTTTTATTTTTTCTACACCAGGGTCAAGTGGGAGGAATTATATTCCACTTTGTACACGTTTTCCTGCTGCCTCGGGAAAGAGTAAGGATTTGAAGGTCCTCCAGCTCTCCTGTTATTCTCCACCTAGCTAAACACCTGGGCACCAGCATCACCTTGCGGAGCTCCTGCCCGGTGGCGGCGGCGGGGTGGGGGTGGGGGGACCCAGTCCTCGCTCGCCCCTCCCGGCGGTCACGTGCTCGAGGATGCCAAGCCCGCTCGCTCGCCATCCTCCTGCCGACCCGCTCCTCCTCCTCCCGCCGAGGCTGTGCACCACAGACGGCGCGAGGGGGAGCGAGCGAGCGGGCGCGGCCGGGTTCCGCAGCCCTGGCGCCCGCCGCCGCCCGCAGCCCCGCAATATGCCTCCGTGGCCCGCTGGCTCTCGGCCATGGCGAGGCTCTGCCGGCGCATCCCCTGCGCCCTGCTCCTCGGCCTGGCCGCGGTGCTGCTGAAGGCGCGGCTGGTCCCCGCTGCCGCCAGAGCAGAACTCAGCCGCTCCGACCTCAGCCTCATCCAGCAGCAGCAGCAGCAGCAACAGCAAAAACAGCGGGAGGAGGCGGAGGAGGAGGAGAGGCCAGAGGTGCCTGGGGCATCCTCGACTTTGGCGGTTCCAGGTAGGTCCCAGCAGCCCGGCCTTGCTTTGCATCGGTGCCAAGCGAGCTCGTCCGGCTTTGCGGGATTCTTAGCTCTTTCCCATCTCTCCCTTTGCCTATCCTTGCTGGTCTCTATCCCTCCGCGTCTTCCCAGGTTGACGGTTCGGCCTTCGGTTCTCCCTCCACACACACTCCAGCCCCGCAGAGCATTGCAGTGGGCTTGAGAAGGGTCGGGGACTGTAATGGAAGTGTGCGAGGGGAGTCAAGGTGGGTGCCTGCTGATCTTTCTATTTTTATTTTATTTTTTATTTTCCTTCTCTTCTTGTGTACACACACACACACACACACACACACACAAGCACACACACACGGGCTCTCAGATCCCTTTAGCATTCTGTTCTCTATCCTCTCCTGGATACAGAGCAGTTTTGCCATATTACACCCACACAGCTTTTGCGCTGTTTCTCCCTGCCTGCTGTATTTAAATTTAGACCTGGAGAAAGAAATCTCGATGGATTTCATTATATTTCTCTTCTTATCCCAGGACACGTTTAAGGCGGCTCGCAATGAAAAGGGGGCGGGGGGAGAATGCATTTGGTACAATAAGATGAAAGAAAGCCACGAAACCGGAGTTTGTAGTTGAGGGAAGGGACGAGGGAGGGAGACAGATAGGTAAGCGTGGAGCGAGCGACGCTTGGGTAGCACAGCCTGCCCCTCCCCCTGAGGGGAATCTCCTTGTAGTGGAACTTTAATGAGCGTGTCTTGACACGTTCGGTAGGGGTTGATGAAATATGGGTGCAGTATATATGACCATTTCAGGCCCCGGTTTTCTGTCTTCCCCTCCCCCAGTTCAAGCTCCCTGGTAAGCAAAGAGCTTGGCTATTCGTTTAACTAGCCTTTACCCAGCCCCCAACCCAGTTGGTTACCTTCTACACTGTAGATGCTGCCGGGGCTTTGGGAAGGAAAGAGGATTTTTTTTCTATTTTTTATAAAGCCACCAATTTTCTGGCTAGTGGGCTGAGGCTTCACAAACTGAAGATGAGTATTATTTTAACACTGATTTTTGTTTTAAAATCTGCCTAGTAACATTATAGAAGATGCTGAAAATGGAATTCTGTAAAGTGGAATCCGCATCTTCGTTTATCTTGCTTGCTCATCATCTGAGATCAGTTCGGAGGCATGCCAGCTGTGATTCATGACACAGCCCAGATGATTTAATTTCTTGGAGTGCTTCGAGCATAGGATGAAATCACCACAGCGCACAGGAGCAAGCTTGTGTTTCTGACACCCTCTTAAACGGATTAATGGCACTCGAAGGTGGCTACAATGGAAAGATACGTGGTGTGTTTG